AAATGTTACAAAATGAAAATGGTTATAAAAAGTCTCTACCTCTTCAAATTCTTAGAACATTATCACACAATTACAAGTCTCTAGGATTCTGTATTTCTGCGCCATAAGTATGAAGTTCTATTCTCTTCTAGAGCAAAAAATAGAAGTATCTCGCGAATTCTGGTCCGCAAACAATTATTCCAGCGGCGAAAGATTCAAATTTTGCTTGTTAACATGTATGCACAAGCAAAGAGGTATTTTGTAAGTTTACATCCAAAATTGGCGGCTCTAATAATCCGCCTGCATAGATAATCGCTGATTGTTACTTGGCTTCAAAGGTATTGTACAATGACGTGCATCTGGAAATCTTTCATAGTATCTTTCCAATCTCAGGTACTTTACAGTTACTAAATGACCTAAAAGAACGTAATCCTTCATATAAAAATTCTGATTGCTATGCTCCCATTTATTCCTAACACATAATTGCGACGAATTCAATTTATCTACGTCGAAATTATTATAGAAGCACTATAGGAATAACAAAATAATGGTACTGAATGGCAAAATGTTGAACTCACGAATATTATTTACAGCGTTCTTTAGTATGACTTGATGGTTCATACTTACCATCGAACCAACATCCATGTAAAGCCCTGTAAGCTTTCCCCGCATCTTCTTGTGACATACATTTCATGTAAACACAACCTTCTCGACTCCCACGATCTACACGAATATGGAGTATTTTTACACCTTCTCCGCATTTCTCTAAAACAGCATCCTGTACTTTTGTTTCCCAATCATCCTCGAATTCTCTAAACGAATATAAACCATAAATATATATAAAAATATCATCATAATTATAAGATTTAATTTCATGACCATAATATCGATTTTCTTTGTTTTTCACAAACTAATTGTGCAGTACTGAAGTACAATAGAAAGTTCAAGGAATTTCGATGAAATTTTTATATTACCGAGAATCTGTTACTCACAGTCCATTCGTAACAAATAAAAAGTAAAATAGGAACACTATCCCGACGTACAGAACAAAATACCACATATATAGATGATTTTAAATAGCGAAACAAAACGTTCTTTAAAATTTCAACAAATGTACTTTAAGATTGAAAACTATGAAACATATTGATGAGACAGTAAGAATTATTGTGAAAAAATTATTAGAGACACTTACACATCTACATCAAACATGTGTCTTATTTTCAAACACGGTGTTGGTGAACATGTTAAACTATTAACTGATCCTTCCATTGTTTCAAACGCTTGACCTTGCCACACTTTAGATTTTTTATTTGGAACGAAATTTTGTGTATTCGATTTGTTAAGATTGTTATTAGGCAACCAGCGCCATACATGAAACTCTTCCCCCGCAACTTGTTGCACTTCCCTTCGGATTCTGAAAATAGTTTTTTTATATGATGTATAAAAATATATTATTTTATGGTAAGGATTAAGCAAAATTAAAATTCATATTCCTTTTTACCTGGATTCATTCTCATCCAAAAATTTAACTGCCTTCTCCCATAAGCTTGCCATCCTTTTACGGTCTTTAGGAGGTATAAGATTATCACGTACATGACTGATAGCAAGAAAGCTTTCTTGTGTACCACCAGGCGATGCTACTCCAGCATTTTGATGATGCATTTCAACCATGTTAATAATTTCACTAACAAGTTTGAACACTTCCCTTTCAGTACTCTTCTTGTACTTGATATACCAAACGAATAATTTCTGCAGTCCTATAGCTGCTAGGAGGCCTGAGAATATATTGCAACATTATTTGTGTAACATATTTAAGTATCGTAGTGCAATATAATGATTAGACTGTAGATATTTATACAATCATATTGACATATACTAACTTTTGAAACACTATAGAATAAAAATTTTAATTACGTCCAATAAACTACTATTTTATATTTTGTCTAGTAAAACTGTTAATAGACGAAAAAAATGTCTATTTAATTATATCTGTTTGTAAGTTGATTTATAAAAATTTGTAAATTCCCCATACTTACGATAAGCGCCTTTTATATTAATACAATGTATTCTCAGCTTAATATTATGTCGCAATATACATTACAAGCAAAGAAAATCGCATAATAGACATTATTGTAACCACATAGAAATCATTTACTGATGTAACACAGTTACATAACGAAAGCATCAAATCTTGTAACAAAATGCAATTTTTTGGGGTATAAAAATATTATCGCGTTATAGAAGCTCGTCAGTGTTCTCAACAAATTTCATTCCATAATAAGTCAGTCAAAAATTTACCAAGTGATACAATTAGAAGAGAGGAGAATATGGTGAACAGCTTGTTTTTAATAAGACACTGCATTGGTAATTCCGGATTTGTGATCACCATTCCAACTTTCCCGTTTAAACGGGTAGAAAATAATTTCTCCTGTAAGAAAAGGATGCCTTTCTCTTTAATTTATATACGATACATAAAGTTGATAGGATCATTCATAACGATGGAAAAACTTTTACAATACCAAGGAATCCAAAACTTCACCGGGAACTCCGTTATCATCACTTATGTCTATTAAAGAAATACCCCACTTAGGGTTCTTTATAACAAGCAATTGTGCATTCTGTAAATCCTCTTTCACCTCCAAACTTTTCTGTAAAATAATTTTATAATTGCATAGATAGCAAAGTAAATATATATAATAATTTCAAATTCACTACATCTAATTCAACATACCACTTTATTACTTGTAAACATTTGCATGATTTCTGAATCGGTCAGGTAAGGAGTTTCACTGGAATTGTCGCATATCATGGATACAGCCTTTTTTGTTAAAATTGGTTGAAGTCGCTTTAATAGTTGCAGTACAGAATCTACATTTTCTTTCATTACACAATTAACTCCAGGCGCTTCAAGGTCAGCTCCAACAAAGCATAGTGGTATGTTGCTGTCTATAAATTGAAATATATGTAATCCAATTGATATTTCAAAATTTTGTAATTCACGTTATATATTCTCAAATTTGTATGTTTATCTTGTATACGAGAAAGAAAATTATTTAATAGCCTCAACCATATAACAGAAAATAGGATAAAATCACTGTATAATGGGAAAGGAAAGAAAATATCAAAATTAATACATCGTTAATACTTATTATTTTATTAAACACGATAAAAAAATCAATACATATTTCAAATAGGATCTTGCAAGAACGATTACACATTTCAATTTTAAAGAAGTTTGTATAAGAAAAAATATATAAAATACGATAAACTTTGAAATAATTTTATATATATATATTGTGTACTTTTTTTTCTAACACCTAATAAGTTTAATACAATAGCATGCAATGCAGTAAACATACATCATGCAATGAGTTAATGAAGTACGAAGTATAAAAAATTTAGATCTTTAAGGACATCTTAATTGGTTTCAATTTATAAATTTTGCTTTTAGAAACTCTAATTATCATAGAATATGACTTTATCTGAACATATTTATTTTTTATAGAACAAAAGACCCAAACTCATGATACACACTATATGTATTCCAATGTATTTACTGTTATTATTAACTTATTTAATAAAGAAACTTTCCCACAAACTAATGGTTAAAATATATCATGTTTGTCGTTATAGTTTTTCAAATATTTCTCTATGAATTTTATTTAAACAATACTACGGTTCTGAATACCTACCCGTTGCAAGCGAGGGAAAAGTTTCTGATTTTCCACCGAGTCCCATGTATATAACTGCAAGTATTCCAAAAAATAAACCAAGTACCACAACCAAGATTACAGACACCATGTTCTGATTGTTGCGTATGTCTTCCCTGCCTATGATCGATGGCTTAAATGTTCTACCCATTGTTTCTCGAGGTCTATCAATAGATGTTGTTGTATGCCTTGAACCCAACAATTATTATATTTACAACACTGTACTTTATATGTATATGTATACATTGGTCTTACAACATTTCATAAGTACCTTGGACTTGTAGTCGAATACAGTGATCTTGAAGAAGAAAAATGACCATTCGAATCTTTTTCTTTCAACTCTGGTACATTAGATGTATGGCGCGAAGTTGGATCTAAACAGTGATACGTACAACAATAAATATATGTATAAAACATTAACACATTTTCTTCTTATTTAATGAAACTTACTTTTTGAACTGGACAAAGTAGAGGATGGTAGATATATAGATGAGCGTGAACTGAGTCTTCTGGTAAATTCAGATAAATATGGAGTTTCATAATTTGCCAAAAGATCTCTTTGATTTGAGCTGTCCCTTGTGCAAACATCTTCCTTTGAAGATTGCATCGGAGATATACTTGGAACAAAAACTGATTCATTATATGTATTATCTTTTATAGTATGTACAGATCTTGCTTTTGAATCATATGATTTTGTAGCTGGTTCTTGATCAAATGTGCTGTGTTCGTATGTTCTAGAGTCAGGGGATTTACAGAAATTGGGTAAATATTCAAATGGAGAATATCTCCTGCTTACTTCTTCTACAACATCTGAATCTGAACCTGTTTCTAAACCATCTGTAATACCCGATGTCTTTTTAGTCTTTACATATTTTTTTTGTGTAGTTTTTGATACTACATGTGTAGTGAAGATAGATGAATTATCGCAATCAGGTGCTATGGGATCCTTAAATTCTGGATGTATTGCTTTTTCTTTGACTGAACTTTTTGATATGTTTGTATCTGGAGATGGTATTGCTGATGGTGGAGGCATTGGATTTGCCAAAGTTTGTCGTCTGGCATTAACAGTTGCTTTTTTCTTTTTTGCGGCTGTTGAACTTGAGTCATCATCTGTATCCTCACTGCTATATCTAATATATGAAAAATTTAACAACATAAACATAATAAATAAATTTATGAACATAAGACTTATTAAAACAAACATTATTATGAATAAGATTAGATGTCATAAAACTGAATCAGTCCTTTAGACGAGAAGTGTCTAACTGCTTTTCCTTTTGCAATTGACTCTAGTTCGGTTTTCCACTAATTCTACCACAGAGACTGCACAAAGTCCTACTCTTAGTTAATCGATCCTCTCACTATGAACAACTCTAGTAATGTTTGTTACAAAGAATTCTATATATGAGTATTTAAATCGGTTATTAGTTTGCTCATAGTAGTGTTCGTACAGCCACTGAAGGAGAAAAGAAAAATAGTTATAGAGAGGGCTTTTCGAAACGAGGAAAAAAAGTCTTGTTAATTGCGAGCCGACAGTTAGACACCTTTGCTTTAGATAATGAAACTTCAACAAATTTCATATAAATACAAATTATTCAAGAATTGGGAAAATATGTACTAAATTACCTGGCAGCTAATGAATGCCGCGAACCTGAACCTCCGCGCGCTTCAATAAGACTTTTTAATTTTTTCACAAGAATTTTTCTAGTGGTTTGTGTTACAGGGCCCACCGGAAACCCATATTCCATCAGTTTACTGCGTAACTCTGAATCACTCAGTGTGTCCACCGACATTTTGTTTACAGAAGAAAAAAAATTCTTCTCTGGAAAGAACCCGGTAAAAACGTTCCCTCGTGGACTATCCTCCCCGCTAAGCACTCTCCTGAAGCGTGATCAAAATTTTGCCAAGCGTTCTTGCTGAACGTAAAATTCACAACACCATCGGTGTCCACGCGTGCCACCTTTCACGACGTTATAAACAGTTCGCGTAACACTTCAACGCTTTGAAAAATAATCTTGGTTAGAACTAAAAAAAATGGCGCAATTTTCTAACGGTCGCGGTCGCGCGCATACTCATCCATACCATTTCACGCCACTCAACCCTGTCATCCATAGTCATGGAACAGGGTTAACCGAGATAATCCAACCGGTCCATGGAGTACGAATCACCCTGCTTCCAATTTTTTTCTCCAACTTTTCGTTTCAAAAATATATTTCTTTGAACATATATTTCTTAATGATATACATGTTCCTTAAATAAACGGACGTTACATTTATGGTTTTGAGAAAAGAAATATCAAAGCCGTTAAATAAAGCGAAATTTACAACGAGTTACACATCATTGATTTGTGATTTTTGGAACAGCATTTTGGAATGTGCTTGGGCAATGTCAATGCTCATGCGCTAATTATAGAACGCACATGCAATCGAATTATGCGTAGCCTTTATTCTTAAAAAGAGATGAACTAATGCTACAAATAAAGAAATTGTTACGAACCCTTATTTGTCGTTAATTATTCTTATATGATTAATCACTAGTTTTATGACAGAACGTCTTTGTTAAAATATATTGAAAGCGCTTTATAAATACGTATAAAAATATTTCGCTTTAAAGTAAAAAATAATGGATTATTCATCAAGTATCTTTATTTTCAATCTCCTCCTTCCTTATTATTTTGTTAACATAATTTATATAGTAATACAAGTAAAATCTTTCTGTAAATATTTGATAAGGTTTTTACAATTTAGAAAGCAATTACATTAAAATATTTCTATGCTTATTTTATAAATTTCAATCATTTAAATGCACTTTTCTCAATTAGTATATTAAATACGTTTCGAGTGCAAATGTATTAGTGTTTTTGCTTAATTTTAATTATACTAATTTCAAATGTTAATGTTGTATGTCTTTTCATTTTGTTTATTATTCAATATTTTAAAACCCTTCACAGGATTATGTATTTATAATTATTTAACACATTTTTTATAAAAATAGTAATAGAATTATTGTACCATTCATTAGATTTTTTATAATGTTCAGTATCTTAGTAAATACATTCCATTTCTTATATTACAATAATCTGGTAAATTTTCAGTTCGACCAAGAGCTATAACAGCTGGATTTTGATTATAAATATATTTGATAGAGACTTCTCTGAGTTTATCAGCTGTTATTTTCTATAATATTCATAGAATTTATGTACTTTTTAAATATTAAATATAAACTTATTATTAAAATTAATTTTTACCTCATATTCTATAATTCTTTCATGAATTGGTATGTAATGTCCGTGTCTTAAAAGAGTTTTTACAATGTCAAGAAAATGAATTACAGGATCATTTAATAACAATAATTCTTTTGTCTTGCATTGATTCACAGCACGTAATACTTCTTTTTGAGTTACTGTTGTACACAATCTCATCCATTCCTTTTGTAGAACTTTAGTCATTGTCTACATGAACATTTTATTAATAAAAATCATTACCAAAAAGATACATTTTGCATATTTATAGCATACCATAAGACTTAATTTGTTGCAGACAAAATAACATCCCCAAATACTAGTAGACTGTGCCCAATTTTGAAAAAACGATTTATACATATGACATAAGTCTGTATTGTATGCGCAATGTGCAATATATGGTGCATTATGTTGTGCTCCACCTAAATGTAAATGCATAATTATTAAATAATTCTTATTATACAATTTTTATTAAGAAAAAGGCGATATCCACTTACTACATTTCCTATCCCAATAACCTACAATTTCTTTAGCAACAGCGAGTGCATAATTATCCGCACATTGTTTAGAACTTGGTCCTTCTATTCCTATTGCTACATACCCCAATTCATCGTCATCATCTCTAAATCGTAATTCAGCTCCTACAACAATATATTTAAATACCATTTGAAAGATAAAATTTCTTTCACTCTTATTTACCTGAAAATCGATATTCAATTTCTGTGCAAAAAGATTGAATAGTATTACAATCTCCTTTTTCACACATGAAACTTCTACAAACAATTCTTTCTAATTCTTGTAGACAAATAGGTCCAACACTGACTATTGTCATGAAACAGGGTTTGAATAAACGACTTTGAAATTCAGTTAATCTTCCTTTACAAAATGTTCTGAAGATTCAACATTACGATTACCAAATAAACATAAATAATGTTTATCAAATAGATTTTTATAATTATATTTTTGTTATTCATTACTCTTGGTACTTACTTTATTATATCAGTTTCAGGATATATACTGCTTGCAAGGTCAGTATCCTGATATGCAATAGTTGGTAAATAATCCATTACAACTCGTTCTTTGTCTAACTCCATTTTAGAAAGCTCGTGCAGAATTATACATTTTTCTCTTGTGATATCTTGATCACCTGAGATATTAGTAACATATTATAATATGTACAAAATAAAGTTTACATAGAGATTTTAATTTAAAATGTCATTATTCAACTTACATATAACATTATTCATGGTCACATCTGCAAATAAGTCAATAAGTTTAATTGTTTTGTTTGAAGGCACTGTTCCATAAAAGAGGAACATATCTCTTGAAGCAACAGTAGTGATCTTGGCACCAATTTCTTCTACTGCTTTTGTCAATTCTTCTTCGCTTTTGTGCATTGTTCTCTATGTTAAGTGTAAATATTTCTGTATTTATAAATACAATTACTCGCAACTAATATAAAATGTTTATTTTACAAGATGCAGAAATGATAAAAATAATTTTTAAAAATTAGCATTCTAATTATGTATATTGAAAATTTGATTCTTATTATACATTCATCCTTACCCTGAAAAGTAAATGTTCTAAGAATAATGCACTGCCACGTTCTTCAGGCATTTCATGCATTGAACCTGCTGGGAAGTAACATCCCAGGGTGGTGGTGTAAGAGCTTTTACTTTCGCATACAAGACGTATACCATTACTCAAAATACAAGATTCTATTGCACTTTCTGTGTTCAGATACGTATCTAAACCTGTAGTCATTTTTCTATGAGTATTCTCATGGTTTTGAATTGTTTTGTAATAATTATTCAAGATAGAAACGTATCCCTTTAAAAAAGAAAGTTAATATGATATTATCTTCATTTTACTAATATTTTAAATCAGCTTAGGAAAATTAATGTAGCTCCTACTCTCTTAACACTGTATTTTAAGATCATGTTGATTTGTGTGTGACACAAATATTTCAAAACCATTACTATTTTTTGGTATATATGTAATTATACATTTGGTAAATAACCCAAGTTATCTTCACTAGATGCAATATAAAAACTACATATATATATATATATATATATATACTTTCTTTATGCGTAACAGTTGAAGGTGGAAATGTAACTTTTGTTCTGTTTATGGTATATTATTGCAGTAGTTGTGGATAGATATTGTAGACAAAATAATTTTTTTTAATAAAGACGGACATAGATATTTAATGAAGTGGAAGTTTTATTATAATTCATTGTTGTCATTAACAATATGAAAATGTATCGGAATGATTTTCTGTAGCACAATAATTAATAAAACAATATTATAATGAGACTCATTTCTATGTTGCTGTGAGTTGATTTCTGCATAAAAGTAAGTAGCAAAAAATATGCTTTTTATAAGTTATGTTAATGAATAGATTTTTATAGAATTTATGTGAACTTACATTAATATCTGAACTACTGAATTAACAACCGTTTCAAACATCGTTATCATGTACATATTTTTTTAACTTCATATTCTTATTTTATTAACTACATTTAAATATATTAAAAATAAGTCTTTTAGGTTGAAATCGAAAAATAAGAACATATTTTGTGATATCCATAGTTTGTTTTTCTTTCGATTATTATCAATGTTTTTTATCACTAACCCCTGTCCTTCAAATAATGTATCTGCATTTCTACATTTTCGTTTCGATAATGAAATTTCATTATCATTAGCACAAAGAGATCTAATATTGTGTTACGTTAATAAGTATCGACGTAAAATTTAATATGTTATTCAATTGCACACAAATACATATTTACAATACTATGTAAGTAGATTACTTGTAAATAAATACATTGAATACAGTTCACACAAAAACTGTAAACTTAAAATATTAACTTGAAATATTCTTCTATAATTCGTATTTCTCTTTACATCTACTATTTTGTGAAAGTAAAAAACTATTTACTTCTAATTCTTCTGTTTGTTCATTTTTCGCGAAAAATAAATTTATTTAACCTGTAGCAGTATCGTATTATCAAAGCCTTCAACTTGACTTTATCTTAAATGTTGTTTGCCAATATTCACACACGCATTAGACATATACTTAAATCATGCTACATTCGCGATTCATGCAATTCTTTATAACTACATTTCACCGAACGAAGATATTATTTTAACATTTGCTTTCTGAGATTTGAAAGCTTCAACACCTTGTCTTGTAACAGAAGTACCAGTTACATCCAGATACTCGAGACTGGATGCATTTAAAGCCAAGTGTACGAGGCTCGAATTTGTAACATGTGGATAATTTCTAAAATGTTTGAAGAAGTGTCATTGCTTTTCCTTTATCAATAAATTAATTTTTTGTTTAATACTATCATACCTAACAACCAATGTTTTCAAATGTGGATTGTTAAACACTCGCTTGTCCTCTTCAACAACTATTACACCTTCTGCCGAGTTGTTGATTATCCTACGATCGCACGTATCACTTCCAAGAGTGCAAATTGCTCGATCTGTTATTAAGCAACGTCCAAATGAATAATTTACCCATCGAAATCCATCTTCAGCCCAAAACTGAAATGAAAAAAAATAGATATGAAAGAATAAAGTGATATAAAACATTCTGTATATTGTCAATGTGTCAACCTGTGCAACATGTGCATCTTCGTATACAGGTGGATTCAACAAAGCCTCTCTGACCAAAGGTCGTGGTTCTTGATCTACTGATTCTGTGTTTCCTAAACTAGAAGGGCGTTCTAGATACAAATGAGTTAAAGTTTTAGTACAATTAAAGCAACCAACTTCGCTATCACCAAGTGCTGTATCTCGTAAATCCAGAATCTAAAATATGAAAATACAGTTATTCGAATATTGTGATATGGTAAAAATGTTTAGAAATATAAAACATGAAGCACATACCTCCAGTGTTTTAAATCCAAATCTTGTTGCTAAACTAGTATAAGCAACACATTCACCCAAACGGTGACATGAATTTAATCGTAATTCTTTTAACTTTGGCATTTTACTGATAACCAAGAGTGAATGTGGAGTAAACCATTGACAGTTGCTTAAAATCAAACACTGTAAAAAGTATGCATTAAAAATCATAAAATACCACTTACTGAATATATATATATAATATATGTTCATATATATATTTATGTATTTATATGTGTTATGTGTTTATATATGTTTATTAACAAAAGATTCAGAAAATACAAAATCATGAAAATGGAATGGATTAAAAACATAAGTAAATACTTATGTAATATACTTTTCTTTTTATGTTCATGGAGTGTTATTACTGATTGCAGATTTGGAAAAAAGTCATTTAAAAGTAAACCTACCAAATGAGCATTAAGTGCAAGTACTTCTCAATTTTCAATTAGTATAAGTAGTTGTTCTGTAATTTATAGAGTTTTCCATGTATAACCAAGTATAAAAACAGAATGATATAAACCAAGAGCAATAAAATATATAAGTAAAGTAAAAAATACTTTAAAAAACATGCGATTATAAAGTAAAATTTCTTACTGTCAGATTAGGCATATGGAAGTTCATTTTAAAGAAATATGATTTATTACTACGCAAACAATTCATCTTACAACCTTTCAACGAAAGTTTCGCAATGGTGCGTGGAAAATCTGTAATTTGAATCTACAAACACATAGAATACAATTTATTAGATTTCATTTATGTTAGACCAATTATACAGTTAAACTTACCTTATCTCCATTAATATAATAATCTTCAATAATTAATTCTTTAAGTTGAGTGCATACAGTTTTAATAGAATTGAAGAAACTAGGACTAAGACCATCATCTTCTTCAGTATACGGACTACTACGAATTGCAAGAGTTGTTGTCATAGGTTGAAGGAATTTTATGTATTCTTTTAAAAAATCATTTAATTGTATAGGCAGTGCACGAAAATCTACTCTTCTCCACAGTGTTTTATCTTGTGCCACTTGTCCTAATCTTTGACAACATCTAATAATATATTGATTATATTAAATATGTATTTTTTATATTTTACTTATAAAAAGGATATATTTCCATTCATTTTTCAAACTTACAAGCTTATTGCCATAAGATCTTGAGGACTTAAATATTGAAAAATATTTAATAGAACGTCGTCTGAGAAATCTAATATATGTGGATACAATATTGCTTCATCTATTTCAGCATTTTCTTCAAGTCTAATACGTTTCATATCATCGTCACTGCTTGAGGGTTTTGGAGATAAAGATCTGCTACGTTTCATTTTCATTTTTTTCTTACACCTGCACAGTATAAATGATATTCTCATTAATTGTAATAAAATACTTTGTCACTGTTAAATCATTAAACTTTCTATACGCTAATGTTTCATTTTATACATTTATAAGTGCACGAGAAAATAATCTAATAATTTATGAACATAAAGACTTTCATGCTTTTGCACAGTCATCTTGAGACATTTAATTTCTATGTATTTTAGTAAAAATAATTTACAAATGTATATATGTACATATAACAAATTAAACGATTAGATATCGGAGACACTTGTTTTTTCAGTAGCTTCAATTCTTCTTGCATCTTTTTTCAATCACTTCTAACCCACTGAAAATATTCTGTTTTCAAATCGAAACTGACAGGAAAGCACAAAGATTGAGAGAATGTTTTGTTCACAAAACAGTCTAATTCTGACTGCTGAATAAGCTCTGTTTCTTTGGCTGAAACCCAGAAATAGTGATAAAATTTCTGCCAACCATATGACACAGTTAACAATTATCCTAAACAATTTTCCAGAGTTTTATGATTTTATAAACAAAAGTTAAACTTTGAATACATTCACTATTTTTTTTTAATTTAAAAAAAATACGAAAATAATTCTATTCAAATTTTTGTTTTGTCAAAAAATCCCATTTTTATTAAATAAATAAAAGTATCAAACAATATACTAAAATTTTTAATGAATAATTCATTCTTAAATGAAAAGTAATTTTAGAAAAAATATAATATTAATCCAATAAGTATTTGTCAAAATTTTTTAAATGATCCAACGATATAGTTGCAAAACATAAAATGTGTTATAAAATTTTAATCTGCAACATTAATTTTTGTAAATAAACACGATGTCTATTATTAGATCGTTAACATTTATTCTATTATTGACAAAAATCAACAAGTAACAACATAACCTTAAGATGAAATGCTGTCACTACATATCTATGACGCGTACCTGTATTTTATCTTTTTTTAATATTTCAATTGTGTATTATTATATTTGCTGAAATGTTGTTTCAAA